CAATCTGACTCCTTATTTTATGAGTGAAAAGAAGGATTCGATTGGATGTGATCATAAATTCTTCTTGTAACTAAGGCTAGTGCGGAGATGAGCGAGATCCGCTGCCCACAACCAGCTCACAAAGGTGGGTTGTGCTATATAGTGTATATTCAAAATGAGAAACGGCCCGATCAGCTAGCTGCCCGGCGGCAGAGTGGGTGGGTATGTTTGCCTTCTATGTGTGGTCCCCGGGTTCGGCCCCCCCTTGAATCGATGGATTTGCGCACTGCTAATGAGATCCAAGCAGATCGAAACAGCTAACCGGTGCTTCCTAGCTTTCCGGCACTAGCTTCATTTACACCGTGAATTTATCATTCAAATCATTTATGACGCGAAAAAGGTACATTTATAAGCATCTGTAGGTTCTGACCAAGCACTTGGTTTGGGTCTGAATGTTTCTGTTTGATCACTTTAGAACAGAACAAACAAACGTGGTGACAATGAAACAAGAATAACAACGGGGAATGGGGAATTGGGCATACAAAAATCAGTTAAATGGCGGTCAAATAATTAGAGTGGCTTAAAATAAAACGAACAAAACAAACTTCTTTCGTTTCGCCGTACGCTTTCAATTCACCATACTTCACCGGGCCCTAATACCACTAATCCCGATTTGGTACACAGCAAAGGATACCAAATAAGTCACTAATATGAAATACTTAGATNGTTTGTATGTCGATTGTGAAAAGTTCAGTTGCCTCGATGTGGTTCGAACCCAAGCATGAACACCGCCTACGCTTTGTACGCGCATGCTCTACCAGCTGAGCTACGAGGCCACACCAATGGTACTGATCTTTTCACATTCAAATTTACCCATGCAACCTCTAAAACTCGTACGCGGAGGTCAGTTTACATGCCAACTGGTGGATGTCATTTGCCTCTGTAAGTTGGATGGGTAAATTCGAATGTGAAAATATCAGCGCTATCGATGNATCGATGTGGCCTCGTTGCTCAGCTGGTAGAGCATGCGCGTACAAGGCGTAGGCGGCGTCCATGCGTGGGTTCGAATCCCACCGAGGCAACTGAACTTTTCACAATCGCCATACAAAACTTCAAATCTGTCAAACAACAATTTGAACATCAAAAATATCCACCATATAGCTAGACTGTTGGTCACCAATAGTTCCACGCATCGCAACATTTCATCCGTGATGCTTTGTCACCCTTTTGGGATTTTCCTTGCCCTGCTGAGACGTGTTCACAAAATTCGCAGCCGTCCTCCCCGGTTTCCCGCAAGTGTGTTCTGGTTAGTAGGATTTCTAATGCACCGGTTAATGATTGCCTGTCAGTCGCAAAAAAATCAATTTTTTCTCTGGTACCCACCACACACTGATCCACTCGCTGCAAATACCGACCTGTTCCACGACACTTACCCGTGTGCGGAAACTGTTTGACAATCTATCTATTCATCAGATTGGGATTCTAAATCGTAACTGAAAAACAGAATGAATTCACGTTCTCTTGCAGTTTCGCTTTTTTTTGTTCTCTCCTCGAAAACTTGTTGACAAAATGCTAAGGTTCAAGTGCATATAAAATTAGAAACCTACGTGATGAAATGGTAAAATATTCTCACTTTTTGGTATCATTGTTTGATTAAATATGAGCAGTACATACACGGGCTGTTGAGATCCTGACCTGTGTGCAACTATTCCTCTCTCACTTCAAAGCCTGTTCTTCGGAACGAAGTATCTTCTGAGATTTTCAAATGGATCTAACCAAGTCTGGTCCCTAAAATTGACTAAACTCAATAACATTCACGTCAGAGTTTGCTGTATTCAAGTATGATGTTTATAAATGCATTTAATCATTTTTTCCACAGAGGAGACAATACGAAGAATCCCCCAAAAAATTAAGAGCGCGATTAACGTTTGGCTTTAAAAAACCGCTTCAAAATTTTCAATAACCCTTTCTTCTCCAGATCTCTATCACGAAACGCCCGTCTCAATTCCGGCGTAACGAAGCGTACGGAACGGGTATCGGATCGACTGAATAGATGCGCACTCAAACACACGGCGGTTTCCAATTCAGTTGCCGAGGCCTTGGTACATGCATGTAAATAAGTTGCGATTACTTGGGCCGCTTTCAACTCACCGCGACAGGCAAAACTGATCGCGATTTCACGCAAAGCCAGCTGTTGTGCACGGCTAAGATGAATCGGTGAACCGATCGGATAGAGGTCCAGATTCACGGAATGCGGATCGTGAAAGGCCAAATCATGTGCATAAGCCACCTCATATATGGTCGGATATCGATCGCTTACACTACCGAAAAATTTCATATGAAAATAATCCACAATATCACAACTCAATCCCATTGCGTCATCATGATAGTCATTGTCGTTACATGTACGAGCCATCTGGTTGAGCGCTTGGCACCAAGAATCTTCTTCGCGTGGCAGCAATTCTTCCCAAATTCCGACTGCAGTTTGCAGGGCTCGAATCCCTTCCGGGATGTGATTCCAAGCAATAAACATCTGTCCAGTTTGCATATATTGCCGAGCCATTAGAGCTCGGTTTTTTGAAAATTCCGGATGTCTCTCCATAATGGCCATCGCATCAACGGCAATTTTGGTTGCCTTGTCCAATTCACCGAGCCCACTATAAACGAGAGCCAGGCAATTCAGCGAGGCTGAAATTATCGGGTGATTCGAACCGTACATGGAAAGTCGAATACTCAAGGCTTTATTTAAAATATCTAGACAAATTTTAAAATATTCTTCTTTATAACAACGTCGCGCAATCATTTGCAGTACGGTGGCATAGCTCGCCTTATCTTGTGCTTCACGTACTGGAATTTCGTCGATCAATTTGGAAACGTCTTTCATGTTGCCCGTATCAATTAGTTCGAAAACAGTTTGCGCTTTGTGTGATACAAACCCTGCATATTCGGTATCCCATAGTTTATCATATGGTACATGCGCATTCCACAATTCGGATTCCTCACCTGCTGTACTGAGTTCATAGTCCAACTGAAGTAATTCACGCATAAATTTCCAGTAAGCACCGGATTCGGTCGCCGAAGCCAACTGTGATTCGGCGTCATAAATCTTTTCTATACAGTAAGCAATACTGGCTTTTAGTTCTCGGTTTTCCCGAGATAGTCTACGCAGTTCCATTCGCGCGGTATTCAATCCGCGATCTATTGTATCCAAAAATTCCGCAATAATTTCAAGCAGATTGGTAGCCATTTCCCCGGCACGTGCTTTTGTCTCAAGCAATTTCAGAGCACGTCGGTTGGCTTCAATAAAAGCTTCATCCGGTGGATTATTTTTACTCAGTTTACCAATCGATCCAAGATTACGCACTTTATTTTCAACCAGACTAGCTGCATTGGCCAGAACATCTCGTGAACGTCGAACTCGATCCAGCAAAGTTTCGGATGTTTGTTCTACCTGGGTTCTACGCTCGGTTGAACGCCCACTACGAAACATTGTGGTTTCTGCATTGGCTAGTATAACCTAACTATGTGTGGGAACAATAGTTCCGATTTCTTATCATATAATCCCAAAGTGAACGAAATAAATGGACAGACTGAACAGGTGTTGGTGCAAACACGCAAACACACGTGGTCGTGTGAAGGTGTACGCATTATTGATTCACATCTGATTTGAATACAGGATGCGTCAGCTCGGACGAATCACGTGACGAGAACGGACATGCGCACACGTCAATCTGGTGGATGGATTGATCCATGTGTGCGTATGTATGTGTGTGAGAGAGAGATAACTGTTTGTGTGCGTCACAGATTTGAACCAGGTGGAATTGGGGTTCTCTTTGTCATTCTTTTACTCCTCTGCCCTCACTCACTCAGTTCATGCAATTTTTCGTCAGTTGTGTAAAGCAGATCAAGTACAAGAAGCAGACTGGGTCGGGTCGCGTTGTGTTTGCAAACATCCCATTCACAGAACCACTTACTATTTTCGTGGGGTAAACGAGAAAAATTACAAATTACGCGGTATGAAATGTTCACATTAGGAAGTACATTTTGTCGAATTGACAGAGAATCGAAGAGATAAAGCATAGCGCTTCTTAAACGCGTGCATGTGTAGATGTGAGAAGGGAGCAGATAAAAGAGGTAGAAAATAACAGGAACTACATATGTGTCATCACTTCATCAATATCTGCTGTCATTTGTTGTTGTGCAAGGTATGTATGGGTTGAGGAATGTACAAAAAAATGGAGTTGCGTTCGATTAGAAGGTGGAGTTGTGGCCCGGGGATAGAGGGGGGGGGGCAGGGGGNTAACTTTGAAATATGGGCAGTGTTTATCGTTGTTATCGTTGGGAACGTAGCATACAGTGATTGGTCAACTGTGATTCGTGAAGTCATGTTTAGCTCAGAGTATGGATGTGATATGTTTTGTTTAGTTCAAGAACAAAATTTATGGTCATGTGCAAGGCTTTACTGTATTAATTCTAAATAAATGATTGCTTGTCGTGTTCATTAGTGTAGCTGTTTTAATAAATGAATCGTTTGATTGAATACCGCGTGCATAAAACAGTTAGCTTGTGTTGTGAGGCTGTGGTTCATTTATTTTAGTCCTTAAAACCTGGTCACATGTACAAAATTGATGGTTCAAAACAAACAATCATGCAGATTGATAATATGCTCTTGTCAGGGGCATGCACGCACGTTTGTGTTACTGTACGTGAGGATCAAATATGACGGACAAAAATGATGAGGTATAGTTACTATTCGTGTATCTTGATGTATGTGTGTGAGTCTGTGTGTAATCATGTATGCATAATTAAATTCAGATTTTGAGAATGGAAGCTCCAATTCAGCGATGACTGTGTACCGTCTTGGAGAGTATTCGATTGCCTATTCTGCAAACAAAGGGACCCCATCTAATTATTGTACACTCACTGCCGAAAATTAGGTTTCACGCCTGATACCATGGCGTAATTTGGATTGGTCTACGATGAAGATCCACATATGCATGTTGGGATCTTTGTTCCAATGGGATTGGTTTCATATCTGCGCAGCTTCGAACATAGGAATCTTGGACAAGCACATTCGGGCAAGTCCCAGGATGATAAGAGGTAGTCGGATGAGACTTATCTAACAATGGGCACATGAACTGGTGCAGGACCGGTTTTATCCCATGCTCCATGTTAGTATTGGTCGTTCGTTCAGGCAAACCCCTCGTCCAATCGAAACACCAATCCGGATAGGCAGTTTGCATGAGAGACTGAGCAGTGGCGGTCGTTCTTCCGCCGGAACAACACCTAGGCGAAGGAGTCATCGATGTGATCAGCGCAGGTCTAACAAGCACATAATTATCACCAGTTCCATACGTATTACCACTTCCAGAATCTGCGTAACTTGTCCGACCAGGTGCTGTTGCTGCTACTGCTGTATGAGGCGGATTGTACAAGCATGTCCTCGCATTGACAGGGGTTAATAGGTCTGGATGAAAATTCAGCCCATGCTCTTTACCGTTCGTGTATTGGGCTGATTGGAAACTGGCAAGTAAATTCTTTTCGGTGAATGAGTTTAAACTTAACGATTTACTCCAAGTGTTTGGGGATGTCGTTGTCCGTTTCTCACTGGACAAATTGACGAGGGAAGGCATGGATAATACACGGGATGTAAGAATTGTTTTTTTCATAGTCTCGGAACGCACAAGGCTCGAAGTTGGACTGAGTGCGGATACGGGCGAACGCAAATAATGTGTCTGATAGGTAGGAACCAAGGGTTGCAATCCGCATTCGACCCGTCCATCCTCAACGGAGACATTTTCAATCACATTAGCCGTATCCAAAAAACCGGAATTATTTGGATAACGAAGTCTCGGCTTTTGTCGCGTCTGAAACGCAGTGAAAACAATGTGGGTTACCAATGGTTCAAGGAGGTTCAGGAGAAACGCTCTTGCTAATAAACAAAATAGTTCAACGGTTATATTAAACGTTTATCTGTTTGTTTGTTTGTTTTTACCAGATAACGCACTAAAATTGGGAATAATTAGACACGGATCGTTTCATTCAGTAGTGGAAAACACTTAGTGCCTGTTGATCTGCGTGTAGTCCCATGCAATTCAAAGTGGCATACTGATAGTTATTGTTACAAGCCTCGTGATTGACCTCCTACAGAGGTATTGAACGCACTATTAATCATCTTCTTGCCCAGTAATTTTTCAGCTGGTCTCATAAATCTATTCTTTGAGTGACCAGTATCACATCTCAGCTTACAACCGCAAATACTGTACCCCTATAATTTGTGAAGCTGATTTTAGCTCTTTTATCTGGAACTGAAACATGATATATTAAACTAGAACCAGTTGTATGCATTTACTTTTACGAAGATAATGTTTGGACAAGTATCATGTATTCAAATGCAATGGAAATGCTTGTGATGACTGACAATGTGCACTGAACAGTTGTTTCGTTTTGTTTGGGACTTGTCAGCAGTGCGTACTTTTTGTATCCCTGTCAGGACGCGAAGCTTGATGCTCTAAAATTGACTGAGCCGTTCGCAAAACGTGGTGACCGCCGACCGTGTAGCTCAGGGGTAAGGGTTTGAAATCTTGACCCGAATGTCTGCGGTTCGAGTCCTGAGAGGGAAGCAAAAAGGAGGCACTGCTGACAAGTCCCAAACAAGACGAAACAACTGTTCAGTGTTCTATGTCAGTCATCAAAACCATTTCCATCTGATCTGAATGCAATTATCGCGTGGGGGATTAATGATCTCCCAATGAGGGAAACTCACACCCAAGTCCATCAGGAGTGCCTGGTGCTTCTGAACAATCGAATGATCTATTCCTAGTTTGATACTCTAAATAGAGTATTATGTATGTTTAGTAATTTCTTATTGCACACCATTATTGTACTCATCCAAACTTAAAATCTTTAATCAATATAGAAAATTATGGGTTATAACAAATCGATGGACTGAATCAGAACGCGAAATAGCAATTTTCACTTGCCTGATCACGTGATACTATTCGGGCCGCGTGATATGCCGTTGAGTGTGATTGTTTCGTAACGTGTCTACGCTTTGCACTTGCAGAGAAAATAAATAAATAAATAAAGACAAGCATTGACAATCTGCCTTGATGAACAACACAGTTACTGAACAATAATTATAGTACGATTTTCTTGTTATCCATTGAAAATGCCATTTAAAGAAAAACCTCGTGATTATCATTCACCGAGTGAGTGTTGACAATCGCTAAATTTGTACGCCCATTTGCTTTGTTTGCCTTCTCACCCAGGCCCGAATGTGACTCATGAGACAGTCTATTTACCTGGTCTCCGTGTCATCCAATGATAGTAAAACCCGCTACCGCATGTACCTGGCTAGTTGTCCGTACCCATGGTTTCTGCTTCCGACTGATGTGAGAGGGACTTTCGCGCAACGTTGCCTTTGCCCTGTAAGACTGACTATGTTCCCGGACCCAGTCAGTTGCCACTAATTTGAGGTATGTTGCAATTGATTTATGAATCCTTTTTTCTTTTCACACTTTTACATCCTTTTATTCAATATCTAGTGATACAATTTTCAGCAAGGGGTGAGCAGCCAACCAAACGGAATGGAATACAACACACAATGGGGAAAGTCTGGCGCTAGTGGTGATGGTGGGACTCGAACCCACGTCCTCCGGGATGATAATTCAGTGACGGTAATACCGGGCCATTACCCACCACATTTGATTATCACCTCAGTACACGTAGATATCACAGCCTTACGTTCTTCTGCCTTGGATTCGTGGCTAGGTATCTGTCAGTCAGTCCGGTCAATCCGGTGCCCAATTCAGCGTGATTTTTTGGAAAAAATCTGACCAATAGATTACTTTTCCTTGATCTATTCAGTATGTGATTGCATTAAGTACTGAGATGGTTGAGCGAAAACTACTGACCTTGGAATAGTCGGGACAACTCGACGCTGGTTGAAGCAGTTTCTTAGCAACCGCAGCTTTAGCGTTCGGATGAGCATTTACATATGGAGATCAAATAAGGTTACCAGTGTGAATGATGTGAAGACAAGTTGCGATAATGTAATTCGGAATCTAGATGTAGTCCATAGATAATCAGCTCAATTAAACCCAAACGGGCGATGGTGGCCCGGTGGTAACATCACCAAACTATCACCTATGAGGACTAATGTTCGAACCCCACAAACATCATCGCCTGATTCGTTATTACATGTTGTATGGCAGCTCCGTTTGATTGGCCGAGCCCCCGCTTCCTTAAATATGCATCATTTTGTATTCACTAAAAAGAAATAAAAAGGAAAAAGAAAATAACTGACTGCGAATTGAGGTCCAACCAGGAAGAAGATGCTGCCAGATGTGTCTGCGGTGGATGACTTAGGTCTGATTGTTTGCACTGATGTCCGTTTGTCCATCTGGACACTGCCAACTGGCGGTCAACAACACCACAGAAATTCCTTTTGAGCTATGCAATACAGTCAGCAGTAGGAGTCCAGAAGTG